ACATTCGATACGCCAGAGCAGTTATGAATGTATGAGATTCATGGAAGATTGTAGTTTATAAAGTAAATTGACCTGTCTACCATAAGGTTCATTCATGAGTGGTCAAGGCATCCAGCGTATATGGCGGTTCCGTCATATGATGCAGGTTCGAATCCTGTCTATGAACGAATATTTTTTATGAAAATTTTTTTACATTCAGGCCGGTAAATTGTTATTTTTATACAAGTTATTTAAACAGAGCATTTGCTTAAATATTTGTATCTATAAAAAATAACAACGTTAAACATAAATAAAAAATGTCTTTAATAAATAAATTGTCGGACCTCGTCCATTTCTTAACATATGACGTCATTTGTTTACATTCGATACGCCAGAGCAGTTATGAATGTACGAGATTCATGGAAGATTGTAGTTTATAACAGTAAATTCGACCTTGTCTACCATAAGGTTCATGGTGGCCGAGTGGTCAAGGCACGCCAGCGTATATGGCGGTTCCGTATAGGATGCAGGTTCGAATCCTGTCTATGAACGAATATTTTCTATGAAAATTTCTCGGACATTCAGGCCGGTAAATGTTATTTAATACTGTTTATCATAAACAGAGCATTTGCTTAAATACTTGTATCTATAAAAATAACAACGTTAAACATAAATAAAAATGTCTTTAATAAATATATATATATATATATATATATATATTTCATCGTAATTGTTCTGATGAGCTTTCCTTTGTGATACCTAGACTTTTTTTTAATTTAAGTGCAGTACTAGATTGGCGGCAAGGTCTCATCATTTTACAGTGGAAATCGCTACATGTAACCATAAGTTCTATGCTAACAATTTCTTCTTTCGCACTTTCCTCTATGGCACCTAGACTTTATGGATTTAAGCGAAGTACTAGATTGGATGTAAGAACTAACCATTTTACTAGATGTAACCGTAAGTTCTATGTTAACAGTTTCTTCTCTCGCACTTCTTTCTTGTGGAACACTTTTCCGGCTTCTTGATTCCCAGTCAACTTTCAACTTCAAAAATTTTAATGCAATGCCAATCGTTGTCTTCAGTCTTCTTAATTTCTGTTCTTTTGTTGGCCTCTCTCAATAATGTTTTCTTTTTCCCCATATTCTTTCACATCCCGTAACCCCTTGCGTCTTATTGGCTTTATTGCTTGACTTGGGGTGATGAAATGAATAAACAAATATATAAACTAGCTTGTCTACATCAATGTTGCTCAAAGTGTGGTACACGTACCGGTACGCGAGCCATCTCCTTCAGGAAACAAAGAACAAGTAGTCACATTCCACGCCACGAGAGACTGCCGGGATATCTGAATCGTTTTTTTTTTTAAGATTTTCATTTTAGTTTTATATTCATTATGGTTACATTTTTCAATTAATCACTCAGTTATACAACTAATGAATGCGATCTAATGAACAGCAAAACAGTGAACTGATATACGTATGACAATGCAACCATGATGATGTAGCATGTGACAGTGTGGGAACCGCCATAGAGAAACTTTCCTGTCCGCTCTCAGCATGACTGATGCTAGGCTCCTGGAGAGCAAAACATTGCGCCTACTTGGCCTCACGTTTTCAACTGAAGTGGCTTGAACTGACTTGAAGTTGAACGACGGCATTTAAACAATAGCTACATCTACTGCAAGGAAAGTTGTGTCACTGTGTCGTGCCAGAAGGTTTTTCATGTCAGACTCCATCTTGAACATTTACATTTACAAATGTACCATTCGTCCGTGCGTGAATACTGTTGTCATGTCTGGTCTGATGCCCCTGCTATTCATCTCGAGGTTCTTGACTAAATCCAAACAACGGTCTGCAATGTAATAGATCCTGACTTGGCATCTTGACTTCAGTCATTTTCTCGCCGACGAAACGTGGCTTGAAACGTCTTTTCTACAAACATTTTCATGGCAACTGCTCTGACGAACTTTTCCCCTGGTTCCCCGACTACGTGAATTGAAGTGTGCTACTAGATTGGCATGTAGGTCTCACACTTTTACTATTAGAATAGTTAAATGCAACCGCCACTTCTACTCCAGCTGTTTATTTTCTTGCACTTCCCGCCTTTGAACTTCCGTTTATTTGCTTCCCTGGTAATCGGCATCTTCTTGAATCTCGTTCATCTTTTAGCATTTCCTCAGTCTTCGCTATACCCAGTCTTTTCTCTCACTTTCACTCTCTGTAACCGCCTGTGTACTAATGAAATTTCCACCTTGCTTGGGGTGAAATGATTGAAAAATATCTTTTCATCCAATATATTGTTATAATTAATTCTATTTCATTATTAATTATTGTTAATCTTTTATTGTATCTAATTTATAAATTAAAAACATTATCATAGCTAATTAGGGAAACTTTTACAATGTAATGAAAATAGGTTTATATATGGATGCTCTGAAAATTTTAGTTTCTATTTTATACCAGATTTTGGCATCAGCATTTGTTAAAGTATTATTTAACAGATTTGGAATACTTCCAGTCCACTATGCAAGATCGGTTAGTCTTTGAAAATAAGGAATTGAATAAAGATAGACTGAAGGGTGAAATTAAAGTCTTTTGATGTCTGCGGACATAATTACATTCTACGACTCTTTGGCCTCACCTGTATTCAGCACAGAAGCGTAAAGATCACTGAATGTCTTTGATTTTATTCAGTGACCAAGTCTATGGAAATGGTGCCTGCCATGATTAAACATATTTATAAAAAAATATTCTTTATTATTTTAAAATGTTAGTCTTGGATAAATTTTTAATCGTCTACGTTTTTTAGTACATGTTCTTTTGAGAGATCTTGATTTTGATCTGACGGTCCAGCTTCATAGACATTCCCACCGCCATAATGTTGCCTGTCTGTGATTTACTATAAACACTTTCATGGTAATTGTTCGGAGGTGCTCTTCGTTATGGTACATAGATTTTTTTTTGAATTTAAGTGCGGTACAATATAGGCCTCGAGATCTCAGCAATTTACAGTTGAGCTGGTTAGATGTAACCGTAAGTTCTATGCTAAGAGTTTCTTCTCTCGCACTTCTCATTTGTGAAATTACCTTCCGGTTCCATATATTCCAGACAAGTTTATTCTGCAAAAATTTAAATGCAATGTCAATCGTTCTCTGTTGTCCTCCTGGTTATTCTTTCCTCTTCCCGCTCATTATTAATGTTTCTCTTCCTAGTTCGTCCACACTCTGTAATCCCTCAGTAGCCTTACTGCCTTGCATTGTCTGATACCGTTAGACTTGTATATCTTTTTCAGCTCAGCGGTTAAAAATCGCCAAAATTGTGAAGGATTTATTTCAAGTTTATGAAATATTGTTTCTTTGCATTTTGTGGCCAATCTCTATCTATAAAAGGCAGGCTGTGTGTGTAACGAATGCACGGCCGCAATTTTCGACGGATTTGCACCAAAATTTACATGCACATGCTCCAAGTTAGCGGGAAAGGCCAAGAGCGACTTTGCATTTCACAACTCTCATCGATAGTGGAAATAATCGATTTTTTCATGCTTCTACGGCACTTTTCATCTAGTTTGCGGCCATTTTGCACTGACCAGAGTGAGAGCCTATAGCTGGCTGCCACGAATAGGCAGGAAGATTCTATTGGCCAGCGTGAAAGCCAACAGCTGACTGACACGAATGTTAACTAGCATGCTAGCAGGCAAAAAAAAATCGATAGCTGCATTCATCACAAGTGGGAAAAATTTAAATCTGCATGGTACTTTACTCCAATTGGCTCATTTGCTTGCTTAAACTCAACGTTGATTGGATGTGAAAAAGTATTTGTTGTTAACATTCTTTTTTCATTCGTTTTTTCCAGTTACGAGTCCTATTTTAAAGCTGATCGTTTTGTGTTCATTTTGTTTAGTTCTTTTTTCGTAACATATTTAATGTTTAGTATAGAGTTTAGAAAAAATTTGCAGTGTGAGATAGGCAAGAAGTACAGCGTGTAGCAACATCAGCACGGCAAAAGGAACTCCTTTCAAGGCAAAGAAGGGCGAAAATATTTTAAGTCAAGTGATAGCGATTGCTGTATGAGTCGTACGATTTTTGAATCAAGCACGGGCAACGCCGGGTCATGCAGCTTGTATATATATATATATATATTACCAGCAATAAAAATTTTGTCGGCATTTCCCTTATTACGCCGTAAAACATAGCAAACTAAACAAAAAACTATCTTGCATATGTATAAGTCTACCATTTGTCCATGCTGCCATATTTAGTTCAGTCCCCCTGCTATTAGGGTGGATATCTTTGATAAGATCCAATAAAGAATCAGCAATAGGTCCTGATCTGGCATCTCGGCTTCAGTCACATTCGCACAGCTGTAACGTTGCATCGCTGTGCCATTTCTATAAATACTTTCATGGTAATTGTTCGGATGAGCTCTTCAATATGGTACCAAGACTTTTTGAATTTAAGCACAGTACTAGACTGGCATTGAGATCTCATCAGTTTAGAGTTGAGCTGGCTAGATGCTATTCTAACAGTTTCTTTTCTTGCATTTTTCTGTGGAACTCTCTTCCAGCTCCATGCTTTCAGGCAAACTTTAATCTGCAAACATTTAAATGCAATGTCAATCGCTATCCTCCTGATTACTCTTTTCTTTTTCTACTCCTTGTTAAAGTTTCTGTTCCTAATTTTTACACACCCTGTAACCTTTTGCGTTTTAGTGGTTGTGCTAGGGGTGATACTAAGTAAAAGAAAGAGTGTGTGTATGTGTGTGTGTGTGAGAGAGAGGTAGAGAGAGAAAAAGGGAGAGAGAGAGAGAGAGAGAGAGAGTTGAGTGATCAGATTGGCACATCGCGGAGGACGAAATTGTCAATGTCTCTCTCAAGAAGAAGAAAGAAGAGAAGTGAAAGAATAAGGGGTCGATAAGATCCGATTGTTAGAAAAAAGAAAGATTGAGAGAGTTATAGTGAGAGAAAGAGGGAGAGAAAGAGAAGGGAAAAGTGAAAGCGAAGAAGAATATGAGAATCAAATGTTAAAAAGAGGTAAAATCAGAGATATAAAAAGAGAGAAACCAAAAAAAAAAAAAGGAGTGAGATTTAAATAATGCCTTTGGCAAAATGATATCTGATGGGGATCGAAGCAGTGAAGGAGAGAAAGAGAATGAGCGAGAGAGAGTGAGTGGGTGTGTGTGTGAGAGAGAGAACGAAATGCTGACAATGAAAAAGGATAAAATTGAAGCTAAGTGAGGGAGGGTGAAAGTGGGAGATAGAGAGAGAGAGAGGAGGGAAAACAGAAAGGATAGATAGATAGATAGATAGATAGATAGATAGATAGATAGTAGGAGAGCGAGAGGGTGAGAAAGGGATGTTGAAAATGAAAACGGTAGGGTTGAAGTTGAGAGAGAGGAGGGAAAGCAGGTGTGAGCTTTACACACACACACACACTTATATATATATATATATATATATATATATATATAAATAAAAAGAAAGAACAGTAAGATATATTCTGGTGTTCTCATAGATATTACCTAAACACCCCCAATATACGGGGAAAAAAATGCCGTAAGAATTTTAGCCGTTAACAATAAAATTTTTAAAAAATCCAGACGACACGCTATTAACGGATGTTAGATTTCATTGAAAAATCCATCCCTACCCATTACCAAAACGTAGCAATAACTGATACATTAAAATATAGACACCGAGACAACCCTCGTCTGGTAAATTGGATTCATCTGTAACCTTGGAAACATCAATTATGATTTTAGCTGTGTCTTTAAAGCCCAGTAATTTTAAAAGTTACTCCAAAATTCGCTTGAGGATGAAATGGAAGTAATGTCTTTAATTTAATTACAAAATTAAATTCGGGGTTTTTAGCTTCCATTTTTGAAACATGGTTAGAACTGTGTAGCGAAAAAAACATATTTTAAATCAATTAATTTACAATATATATATATAAGAGAGAGAGAGAGAGAGAGAGAGAGAGAGAGAGAGAGAGAGAGAAAAGCGATCGAATATAAAGAGAGCGAGAGGAAAATGATAGACATAGTGTGTGTCAAAAATTTATTAAGGAGAGAAAGAATGAGACAAAAGACAAAATATGAGGACAAAGCAAAAAAAAAAAAAAATGCGGGCGGTAGAGAATTTCAAGCAAGAAAAGAGATGGAAATTTTTCATAAGAAGTTGAATGGGACTAAAAAGTTTCAGTAGAAAGAAAGAATGAGTTATTGTGAAGGAGGAGGAGGAGGAGGAGGAGGAGGAGGAGGAAGAGAGACAGTGAAAGCGGACAAAAAGAAAGCCTTCAGATATGGAGGGAAAAAGTCGAAGTGTGGCTGCAACTATAAAGAAACACACAGATAAAGGAAGCTTGTAAATATAATGAAAGAGAGAAAAACTTCTTGGTACTACTTTAGCGTGCGGTAAACGGCAGTTTCCGCAGTCTACACTGTGAAATGACCTTTAGAGCGAGGTCTACATTTCATCGTATGAATTTATTACCAGTGCTTAACTTTTTTACCCTTTTGATCTGAGTGCTCCTGATCGGTCAATATAAAATGACCTTTAGCGTGCAGTCTTTCATGTGTTTCCCTTATTTTTACCCTTTTAACCTGAGTACTCCTGACAGGTCAATATAAATGAAAACGTTTTACCCACTACAATGCTGTTAAAAGTTCTTGTAGTGGAGGTAGGCTGCATATTGAAGAGGAGGTAGACTGCACGCTGAACTGTAAATGGCCTGGTAGACAGCACGCTAAAGTAACACGCAAAAGGTCATTTCACATCATACCAGACGAAAACAGCGGTAGACAGTAAGCCAAAGTAGTACCAAGTATTTGAAGTTGTAAAACACATTCTTACAGAGAGGATTGTGTAAGCTTCAAGTAGAAGCAAACAAAAAAAAAAAAAAAAAAAAAAAGAAAGTTTTTAAATTAAAATGGGGTGGTATGAAGAAAGAGCAGAAGGATGTTTGAGCAAAATAAAAAAAGAAAGGAGCATTTTAAAAGAATTTTAAAAGAATGATTTAAAAATCAGATAAAGAAAGACAAACGAAAGAGATATGAAATATTACATGGGGCAAAATATTGAAATTCTCTGATGTGGTTGCTGAGTCAACAAGTTACCTGTCACCAGGACTTGAATTATTGGGAGAATCATATTGCAAACCAAACGGCTCCATCTTATTGCTTATCTCTCTCCCAACAAACAAAACTCGCCTTCATATTAAGTCAAAAAAGAAAAGGAAGACTGGAACACAAATAAATATTTATATTCTTTCAAATAACCCTTTGTCCCAAAATACCTTTGTTCATCTCTCTTTTCAAAATAAAGAGAAGTTGATCGCACATTTCTGACAGGCACATTTCTGATAAAAAAAAAAAAAATGAAAACAAGAAAAATTGCAAAATAAAGACATGGTGTGTTTTTTTTTCGTAATTTTTAGGTAAATATATTCTCTTATCTCTTTCAGACTATTTGGACTGTGGCAGTTGTATTAAAAATTGAATGGTTCGCGGTTCAGTTTGATAACATTTTTTATGATAATTTTCTTTGTTTTTCTTGTTTCACACACTATTCGTGCTATTGATATTAATTCTTATTTCGTCTCTTCAATTCAAGATTAAATCAAAATACAAGACTTCCGTTTCAAATCTATTATCACATAAATTTATAATATGCAGATATATACGTTTTCATGTTTATGTATGTGTGTATGTGAGCACACAAACGTGTGTATGTGCGTACTTGTTTGTCTGGATAGAGATTTTTGTAGTAATTTAATAGGAATTTTTTAAATTTCCGAACACAGTCAGCACCTTGTGGCCGTATACTGTTAACGCTTCCATGATTTTTAATCGATTTCTGGATTTAGATGAGTGCCTTATGTCTGTGTTTTCTACAAGTAGAATTATTATGTTTGTGTTTTCTACAATAAAATTATTATGTTCGTATTTTCTACAAAAACATCTCCATATTTAGACAAACAAAAGAAACGTCCTTGATAATGGCTAATAGATTAGCCGAAAGCGCTCGGATCCACTGATCATTTGCACAGTTCTGACACACTCTATGTCCCCAAAAGAAATCACTTGTACGAATGCAAGAAAAATATAACAAAAAGCTTAATTGCAGTGCATTGTCTATCGTCTTCAATGAAACATGTATAAAAGAGGTACTACTGCCAAAATACTCAATTTATATATATATATATATATATATATATATATATATATATATAAATAAAATAAGAGGCACCGTGGAGTAATGGATAGAGGCTTGGATTGAGGAATCGGTGTCAGGCTGTCGATTCCTAGGAACTGCTCTGATTGACCCACATACGTCGAATTCGACGGAAGAGTTGATTATATATATATATATATATATATATATATATATATATATATATATATATATATATGTGTGTGAAAAGTGTATATAAATATAAATAAATATATATATGTATAATTATTTATATATTATATATGCGGTACTACTATTAGAAAGCGCTCAATATCAGGGATAGAGCTAACATATTTGGTTGGATAGATGTGAGTTTGTAATCAGTTTGTCTGACGATCGCTAAAGCGTGAAACCCAGGGTCACAAATCACATCTATCCAACCAAATATATATATATATATATATATATATATATATATATATATATATATATATATACATGTAAAAGTTTTTTTTTATTTAATTTTTTTTTTTCTCGCCCGAATGCTCTGTATATCCGAGTGCTTTCGGCTATTCTTTAGCCATTATCAAGGATGATTTTTATTTTTACTTTTTTATTATCCGAATGCTGTTTCACGAGGTTTTACATATCTATAAGTCTATCATTTGCCTATGCTTAAAATATTACTGTTACATAAGGTACGGTGACCCTGCTACTTACCTTGAGCTTCTTGATGAAATCCAAAGGAAAATCAGCAATATTATTAGTCCTGATCTATTGGTTCGGCTTCAATCACTTTCTCACCGCTGTAAGCTTGCCTCTCTGTGTCTTTTCTATAAATACATTCATAGTAGTTGCTCAGATGAGCTCTTCGCTATAATCCCAAGAGTTTTTTTTTTTTTTATTTAAACACATTACTAGACTGGCGTTAAGATTTCATCTATTTACAGTTGAGCACACTAGATGTAGCCGTAAGTTCTATGCTAACAGTTTCTTTTTTAGCACTTCTCGCTTGTGGAACTCCCTTCCAGCTCTATGATTTCCAGCCTACTTTATGTTTTAAATGTTTTACAATCAGAAACACACACACATATATATATATACTCACAGACAAACTAAGCCCCCCCCCTTCCTGGAGATGGTCTCAGATGAGATTGAAAGGACTTTGGAAAACAAAAACTACCTTGTTGATTGCGATTTTTCCAGTTCCACTGTTTTAACTGCAAATATTTATGATGAGCTCGAATTGTGAGGGGAAATAATTTGAATCTGTTATTCAAGATTTTTCGATTATCACAAAGAGATGAATGCGTCAGCAGCAGTCAATCCAACAGTAACTAATTTATTTGATGCCCATTCATATATTCTATCTATGGTAGTACATTAGAATAATGTCAAGTTGTTGCTAAGTAATTATTCACACACAGACACACACAGACGCACAAACATTGCCAGCACAAACATTTATTGTCAGCTTTATGCGTATAAACATTCTATTTCAATAGACGCTATAAAAATAGAATGATTATGTCCTCGTATTAGCGACATAAGTGTATCAAAAAGAATGGTAATGGCGAGGTAATGGTAAGATTAACCGTTTCTGTACAGGAAACATTCGGTATTCATTGATCGAACATTTAGCATAGCTGTCAATTGAAATTAATATAAAAAAATCGTTCTCATAAAACACTATTTCAGGGAAACAGATAGAAATCGGAGAATGGAGTTCGAATATAACGAACCCGATTAGGAAATCGGGTTCATTATATTCACTTGCACGTAAATATCCTTGGGAAAGATATAAATCCATCTCTTCTCTCCATAACTATGGGTTAAACAACAAGACTGGTTCCTATAGGCTTGGTTGGCAACCAGTCTACTGCAGAAAGAAACAGCAGCCTACTGCTGGAAAATCTTCTGCCGAGAATCGAAATAGACATGATCGCCAAAGCATGTACCACGCATGGCACTTAACTTGTAGACTAAGGCTTCTCAAGACCATTAACTGTTATAGATCTTTCTAGCATTCCTAGTATATCGTTTCCTTCCTAACCTTTTGTTTAGTTGCATAAACTATCAGTTTTTGTTGTTGATGCTGTTGAATGTCTTCAAGTGATGTAGTTTTGTCATTTAGTAAAATTCTTCGTTCGTGGTACTGTAATACCAATATCTAGGGGATTTATTCTGGCAGATTTATTCTCTTGAAGCAATTTTGAAATCAGTATGTGAAACAAAAAACAAATATAATGACAATATTCTCCACACGTGACAATCTCTGACGTTATTTTTCAGTTAAAAAATATGAAAATAACGTTTCTCTACATTCCAGTTGCTATGTACATTCTGTTTTTGTTTTTATTAGTTACTTTGTTCATTTAATTTCATTTTCGTATTTTGCTTTGATAAAGTCCACATTGGACGAAACGCGTCAGCAATTACCAGTTTTCCTATTGTCATTTTTATTCATATATATATATATATATATATATATATATATATATGGCCATATGTTTAAAAATGATTTTCAAAATATGTTATATTTATGCGTAAACGTGCTCAATATCAGGGATAGAGCGTAAGTAAATATCAGGACGCCTGAAGCATGAAACAGACTGCCGCCATGTGTGTGTGTGTGTGTGTGTGTGTGTGTGTGTGTGTGTGTGTGTGTGTGTGTGTGTGTGTGTGTGTGTGTGTGTGTGTGTGTGTTAAGTGGTGTTGAAATGTTATAATCGCGACCTTGATAGGATACTTCCCCACCCTCCAATCTTACGTTTGGTTATCTACGAAGGAGTGGAGTGTACTGAATTGTTTTCAGCCTGAACTGCTTCCTAAAATCTGATTAAATTACTAAACATCAGAAGAGTTTTTCAATCAATTCTTAGTCAGGTTGAGGTCTTTTCACTTCTCTATTTTATGCATGCATTTATGATAAACTCTACGCATATATTGGCATATATAATAAATTATTATATGCATTAGTGTGTATTCAAGCAAACACACACATATATATATATATATATATACATATATATATATATATATATATATACACATATATATATATATATATATTCAAGCATGTTTCATTGAATAATATAAATATATGTCTATTCATTACTAGTGTATTAGTAATGTTCTAAAATGTATTTGACTAACACTTAACGCCATGTCATATTTTTACTCTTTGGTTAGTTCCCTTACATTGTGGACGCTTGTTTACAAAAAAAAACAAACAAGAAAAAAATCGTTACTACAATGGTTAATTTTAAAATAATTATAATAGAGCGTGTGTTTACAAAAATCACCTTCACAACGATCACAGCTATATTAAGTTTGTCTTCATCCGCTTCGTATGATCTCGAAGGACATTGAAAGTACTTGCGTTAACAAGGACTACGACGCCTTTCTTGATTAATTTCAACTTAACATCAAGAAGATAATTAAAGAACTAGAAAGGATTATTATAAAAATAGAAATGTCTATATTATTCAATGAAAGATGCTTGAATGAAGATATGCTGCTATATATATATATATATATATATATATATATATATATATATATATATATATATATATATATATATATATACGCAGCATATATTCATTCACGCATATATGGTGCTTATGTGCAGATTTACATCTGGAAACCCGTGCATCTTTCAATACACTAATGAATATGTTTATTCTTGCAGTTCTTACAAAGATGCATATCTTATCAGCACATATATTTATTTCATATACTTATGTATAAGCATAAACATATTTGACTCCTTCTATAAAAACGTTCACGAATTCGTATATATAGGTATATGTATGTATAAGCTTGTTTGCACCTTTGTACACGCATACACGTATATTTGCTTTCTTAAATAAAGACAAAGTGTCATGGCTGACTGGTTGATATTGGTTGTCTGCGAATGACTATGATGTCTGAAAATAGCTAAACCAAAGATAGAAATTCCCGCCTTCGTAATGTGCATCTCCAGTACGTCCATCATTTTTTTCTTCAGCCGAAGACTATCCGATGTCCGACCAGCAAGACGATCTGGCATTGCCAAGGTTATAATGCTCTGATGGGATTGCCAATGAAATTATTGATTTAAAAATCATTTAATTATTTATTAGAGATAAAAACAAGAATAGGGTGGGCTAAAACTGAAACTGAGATATACCAAAAACGCATGCTACGTGAAGTGAGTACAATTTACCCCGTGGTCAAAAAGGGTTCGGTTCGAAATTCCAACGTACATCCCCTAAAGAAGAAGGTCTGAGTGTACAACGACCGAAACGTTGTGAATATGGCAATAAAAATGAGGAAAAAGTCTGGGTAATATGAAACGTGTATATATATATATATATATATATATATATATATATATATATATATATATATATGAAAAGATTATTTAACTTTTAAAATCAATTTATCCCGACTTCAAAATTTGTTGGTAAAATTTCCAGCTTTCAAGGATTGTAGTTTTAAACGGTATTTCCAATTCGTTTTTTTACAATATTTTATCTTGAAATTTTACAAGGAAACTTCGAAGTCGGGGTAAAATTGATGTTTAAAAGTGAAGTAATCTTTTCATTTAATATTATTAACGCTCTATTTTTAATATTATTTGAATATTTTTAATATCACGAACTATATAAAAAATATATGCTGTTTCTTAAATCTTGTTTCTTCCTCTTCACTTAATAATAAATCTGATCGATTCGATAAGGTCAAATTGGCAGCTGTTATACTCCGTTGCAAATTAGATCTCTTTCTGATTTACTTTACATGGCGGCGTTGGCGGGCTCTCGACGTAACCACCGTAATTTCGGTCAACAGACCCAACATTCATATTTGTTCACGAGCAACCCTCACTCAGGCGACAACAGTATGCCTACAGACACCTTCCGCTCGCATCCTCTGTATCGGCAAGGTCATATTCGCCGCTTCACTTATCCGCCCCTTGCCTCTCTCGTCGTCACCACCATGACTTCAGTCAATCCACTATAATGCCAATCAGATTCTGGTTTTACTATCACACTGCAGGCCTCTCCCGTCGTCACTATTGCCACTATTTATTTTACGAATTCAACTGTATTTTATTTCCTTTTTAGGGACAATTAGGAAGTAATAAATAAATATAATTTATGTACGTATATGAGAAAAAGTGAGTCAATACGTGTGTGCGTGCTTGGTAGTAACGAGAGATACAAGAGATAGAATTTAGTTCTTACTGTGTCGCTGTTGTTCGGGGCGGGAGTTTTCAGCGTGGTAGGTTTTTTTGTGTGTGGACTTGAATAGAGGTCTTGACTTTTGTGCGTCTAATGTCAAAATTTTGCACACTGTCCTCAATTGTTACACACAAAAAACATTTCAAATAGCTAGATGTAACCGTAAGTTCTATGCCAACAGTTTCTTCTCACGCACTTCTTGCATGTGGAACTCTCTTCCGACTTCTTGCTTTCCGGTCAACGTTTTTTTTCCAAAATTTAAATGTCATGTCAATCGTTGTTTTCTTTCTTCTTCATTCTTCTTTTTCATTGTTCTTTCTCCTTCTCCTTAGTAATATTATCTTTTTCTCATATTCTTCCACACTCAGTAACCCCTTTGCTTCTTCGTACTTTTATTCTCTTCCTTGAAGTAAAATGATTTAAAAAAGAAATGATGAACTATTTATATAGTCAATCAACATTTTCATCTTATCAAACTACGAGCAGCATGGCCCGGCGTTGCCCGTGCTTGATTCAAAAATCTTACGACTCATACAGCAATCGCCATCACTTGACTTAAAATACTTTTGCCTTTAAAGGAGTGTCCTTTGCCGTGCTGATGTTGCTACATGCCTTACTTCTTGCCAATCTCACACTGTGAATTTTTTCTAAGCTCTATACTTTAACATTAAATCTGTTACGAAAAAAGAACTAAACAAAATGAACACAAACGATCAGCTTTAAAAAAAGGACCCGTAACTGGAAAAAATGAATGAAAAAAGAATGTTAACAACAAATACTTTGTCACACCCAACCCAGTTCTGTGAAATCAGAATCAACGTTGAGTTTAAGCAAGCGAATGAGCCAATTGGGGTAAAGTGCCATGCAGATTTAAATTTTTCCCACTTGTGACGAATGCAGCTATCGATTTTTTTTTGCATGCTAGCATGCTAGTTAACATTCGTGTCAGTCAGCTGTTGGCTCTCACGCTGGCCAATAGAATCTTCCTGCCTATTCGTGGCAGCCAGCTATAGGCTCTCACTCTGGCCATTAGAAAAAGACCGCAAACTACATGAAAACTGCCTTAGAAGCATGAAAAAATCGATTATTTCCACTATCGATGTGAGTTGGGAAATGCAAAGTCGGTCTTGGCCTTCCATGTGCATGTCAATTTTGGTGCAAATCCGTCGAAAATTGCGTCCGTGCATTCGTTACACACACACACACACACACACACACACATCCTGCCTTTTATAGATAGAGATATTCAGAATATTTATAAGAAAAGTTAACAAATATTGTTAACTTAATCGCCTATTTAAAATGGGCATAGAATTGAAGTAATATTTAATAATCATCGTCTAAATCTAACTTGAAATGTGTCTCTTCTGGATTTAAGCCTTGGAAAATTAAAAAATGTATATACTTGCGTCTTGATTATGTTCATATAGATAAACGTATTCGTAGTCACTGGATAACTAGGGATTTCTTTTCTGGATGTAAGAAAATGAAAATATTGTTAGAAATTGTGAAAAAACGTTTTTGAATATGAAAAACAGATTGTTAAATTTTCAAAACTAACAGAAATATGATCATCACCATCAGTCCCATGACCGGGTATGATTGTAGGGTTACAGCGCAGTGGGGCTTCTGACCAGCTCCCTCAATATGTCTCAGTTGTCATATCTGAATTTCTATGGATGAACTTCCTGTTTACTTATTGCCTTTGTCAACCCATTATCCACCTCTGTCTACTCTTTTTTATTATTTTGCTTAAGGTGATAGATTTTAGGATGCCAATAAAATTATTCCTAACTCTTGCGACATGGCCATAAAACTGTTTCTTCTGGAGGATGAATGTGAGGTCTCCGAACAAGTCTGTTTCTTTTCTGATGTATTCTAACACTGCATCATTTGTGAAGAATTTTACATAGAAGATGCCTAGAATAGTTCTGTAGCACATCCTTTCTATAATTCTTTCTGTAATTCTGCTGTTAATGAGCAAGTTGAAAGGCATCGTTTCGCACTGTTTAAAAGTATTTTGTAAAAGGGATTATTATATGGTAACAGGAGAAATTGTAACTTTCATTGCAGAAATTTTGTAATGTAACAGACGAGGTAGGAAGGATGGTCTCCCGAAAGAAGTTTACAGATATGTTGAGAAAGATGATCATCTGAAAGTTTACAGACAGTTTGGAAACACAATCCTCTGAAAGAAGTTCACAAATATATATGAGGAAAGATGATCCTTTGAAATAGTTTACAGATATAAGAAGAAAGATGATCCTCTGAAAGAAGTTTACAGATAGTTTGGAAACATAATCCTCTGAAAGAAGTTCACAAATATATATGAGGAAAGATGATCATTTGAAATAGTTTACAGATATAAGAAGAAAGATGATCCTCTGAAAGAAGTTTACAGATAGTTTGGAAACATAATCCTCTGAAAGAAGTTCACAAATATATATGAGGAAAGATGATCATTTGAAATAGTTTACAGATATAAGAAGAAAGATGATGTTCTGAAAGAAGTTTACAGATAGTTTGGAAACATAATCCTCTGAAAGAAGTTCACAAATATATATGAGGATAGATGATCCTATGAAATAGTTTACAGATATAAGAAGAAAGACGATCCTCTGAAAGAAGTTTACAGATAGTTTGGAAACATAATCCTCTGAAAGAAGTTCACAAATATATAGGAAAGATGATCATTTGAGGAAAGATGATCATTTGAAATAGTTTATGAGATATAAGAAGAAAAGATGATCCTCTGAAAGAAGTTTTGGAAACAGATAGTTTGGAAACATAATCCTTTGGAAACATAATCCTCTGAAAGAAGTGAAAGAAGTTCACAAATGTATAGATATAAGGAAAGATGATCCTTTGAAATAGTTTTGGACAGATATAAGAAGAAAGATGATCCTCTGAAAGAAGATATAAGAAGAAAGATGAAAAGAAGTTTGGAAACATAATCCTCTGAAATAGTTCATAGTTTGTTTAATAATCCTCTGAAAAAGTTCACAAATGTATATGAGGAAAGATGATCATTTGAAATAGTTTACAGATATAAGAAGAAAGATGATCCTCTGAAAGAAGTTTACAAAGATAGTTTTGGAAACATAATCCTCTGAAAGAAGTTTTGGACAAATATATATATATGAGGATAGATGATCCTTTGAAATAGTTTACAGATATAAGAAGAAAGATGATCCTCTGAAAGAAGTTTACAGATAGTTTGGAAACATAATCCTCTGAAAGAAGTTCACAAATATATATGAGGATAGATGATCCTTTGAAATAGTTTACCGATATAAGAAGAAAGATGATCCTCTGAAAGAAGTTTACAGATAGTTTGGAAACATAATCCTCTGAAAGAAGTTCACAAATGTATATGAAGAAAGATGATCATTTGAAATAGTTTACAGATATAAGAAGAAAGATGATCCTCTGAAAGAAGTTTACAGATAGTTTGGAAACATAATCCTCTGAAAGAAGTTCACAAATAATCCTCTGTATATGAGGAAAGATGATCATTTGAAATAGTTTACAGATATAAGAAGAAAGATGATCCTCTGAAAGAAGTTTACAGATAGTTTGGAAACATAATCCTATAAGAAAAAGATGATCTGAAAGAAGTTCAATCAAATATATATATGAGGAAAGATGATCCTTTGAAATAGTTTACAGATATAACAAGAAAGATGATCCTCTGAAAGAAGTTTACAGATAGTTTGGAAACATAATCCTCTGAAAGAAGTTCACAAATATATGATCCTCTGAAAGAAGTTTACAGATAGATGAAAGAAGTCCTTTGAAAGGATAGATAGTGTACAGATATATGAAGAAAGATGATCCTCTGAAAGAAGTTTACAAATAGTTTGGAAACATAATCCTCTGAAAGAAGTTCACAAATATATATGAGGAAAGATGATCCTTTGAAATAGTTTACAGATATAAGGAGAAAATGATGAAAGAAGTCCTAATCCTCTGAAAAGTTCAAAATTTATGAGGATAGATGATCCTTTGAAATAGTTTACAGATATAAGATAGTTTGAAAACATAATCCACTGAAAGAAGTTCACAAATATATACAGAGGATAGATGATCCTTTGAAATAGTTTACAGATATAAGAAGAAAAAGATGATCCTCTGAAAGAAGTTTACAGATAGTTTGGAAACATAATCCTCTGAAAGAAGTTCACAAATGTATATGAGGAAAGATGATCTTTGAAATAGTTTACTGATATAAGAAAGATGATCCTCTGTTTTGGAAACATAATCCTCTGAAATATATATATGAGGAAAGATGATCCTTTGAAATAGTTTACAGATATAAGAAGAAAGATGATCCTCTGAAAGAAGTTTACAGACAGTTTGGAAACATAATCCTCTGAAAGAAAACATAATCCTCTGAAAGAAGTTCACAAATATATGTATATGAGGAAAGATGATCATTTGAAATAGTTTACAGATATAAGAAGAAAGATGATCCTCTGAAAGAAGTGTACAGATAGTTTGGAAACATAATCCTCTGAAAGAAGTTCACAAATATATATGAGGAAAGATGATCCTTTGAAATAGTTTACAGATATAAGAGAAAAAGATGATCCTCTGAAGAAGAAAGATGATCCTCTGAAAGAAGATTACAGAAACAGTTTGGAAACATAATCCTCTGAAAGAAGTTCACAAATGTATATGAGGAAAGATGATCATTTGAAATAGTTTACAGATATAAGAAGAAAGATGATCCTCTGAAAGAAGTTTACAGATAGTTTGGAAACATAATCCTCTGAAAGAAGTTCACAAATGTATATGAGGAAAGATGATCATTTGAAATAGTTTACAGATATAAGAAGAAAGATGATCCTCTGAAAGATATAAGAAGAAAGATGATCCTCTGAAAGAAGTTTATAAGAAGAAAGATGATCCTCTGAAAGATAGTTTTGGAAACATAATCCTCTGAAATATGAGGATAGATTCCTTTGAAATATATATATAAGATGGATAGATGATCCTTTGAAATAGTGTATGATCAAATATATATGAAGAAAGATGATCCTCTGAAAGAAGTTTACAGATAGTTTGGAAACATAATCCTCTGAAAGAAGTTCACAAATATAGAATAAGTTTACAGATATGAGGAAAGATGATCCTTTGTTTGGAAATAGTTTAAAGAGATATAAGAAGATATAAGAAAAAGATGATCCTCTGAAAGAAGTTTACAGATAGTTTGGAAACATAATCCTCTGAAAGAAGTTCACAAATATATATGAGGATAGATGATCCTTTGAAATAGTTTACAGATATAAGAAGAAAAGATGATCCTCTGAAAGAAGTTTACAGATAGTTTGGAAACATAATCCTCTGAAAGAAGTTCACAAATGTATATGAGGAAAGATGATCATTTGAAATAGTTTACAGATATAAGAAAGAAAAAGATGATCCTCTGAAAGAAGTTCACAAATACAGATAGTTTGGAAACATAATCCTCTGAAAGAAGTTCACAAATATATATGAGGAAAGATGATCCTTTGAAATAGTTTACAGATATAAGAAGAAAGATGATCCTCTGAAAGAAGTTTACAGATAGTTTGGAAACATAATCCTCTGAAAGAAGTTCATAAATGAGTATATGAGAAAGATGATCATTTGAAATAGTTTACAGATATAAGAAGAAAGATGATCCTCTGAAAGAAGTTTACAGATAGTTTGGAAACATAATCCTCTGAAAAGAAGTTCACAAATATATATGAGGAAATGATCCTTTGATGATCCTCTTTGAAACAGTTTACAGATATAAGAAGAAAGATGATCCTCTGAAAGAAGTTTACAGATAGTTTGGAAACATAATCCTCTGAAAGAAGTTCACAAATGTATATGAGGAAAGATGATCATTTGAAATAGTTTACAGATATAAGAAGAAAGATGATCCTCTGAAAGAAGTTTACAGATAGTTTGGAAACATAATCCTCTGAAAGAAGTTCACAAATATATATGAGGAAAGATGATCCTTTGAAATAGTTTACAGATATAAGAAGAAAGATGATCCTCTGAAAGAAGTTTACAGATAGTTTGGAAACATAATCCTCTGAAAGAAGTTCACAAATATATATGAGGATAGATGATCCTTTGAAATAGTTTACAGATATAAGAAGAAAGATGATCCTCTGAAAGAAGTTTACAGATAGTTTGGAAACATAATCCTCTGAAAGAAGTTCACAAATATATATGAGGATAGATGATCCTTTGAAATAGTGTACAGATATATGAAGAAAGATCCTCTGAAAGAAGTCCTCTAATCCTCTGAAGAAGTTTACAAATATATATGATAGTTTGGAAACATAATCCTCTGAAAGAAGTTTACAGATAGAAAGAAGTTCACAAATGTATATGAGGAAAGATGATCCTTTGAAATAGTTTACAGATATAAGAAGAAAAGATGATCCTCTGAAAGAAGTTTACAGATAGTTTGGAAACATAATCCTCTGAAAGAAGTTCACAAATATATATGAGGAAAGATGATCCTTTGAAATAGTTTACAGATATAAGAAGAAAGATGATCCTCTGAAAGAAGTTTACAGATAGTTTGGAAACATAATCCTCTGAAAGAAGTTTACAAATATATATGAGGAAAGATGATCCTTTGAAATAGTTTACAGATATAAGAAGAAAGATGATCCTCTGAAAGAAGTTTACAGATAGTTTGGAAACATAATCCTCTGAAAGAAGTTCACAAATATATATGAGGAAAGATGAGGAAAGATGATCCTTTGAAATTTACAGTTTAATCCTCTGAAAAGTTCACAAATATATATGAGGATAGATGATCATTTGAAATAGTTTACAGATAAAAGAAGAAAGATGATCCTCTGAAAGAAGTTTACAGACAGTTTGGAAACATAATCCTCTGAAAGAAGTTCAAAAATGTATATGAGTAAAGATGATCATTTGAAAGAAATAGTTTACAGATATAAATAAGAAAGATGATCCTCTGAAAGAAGTTTATCCTCTGAAAGTTTGGAAACATAATCCTCTGAAAGAAGTTCACAAATATATATGAGGAAAGATGATCCTTTGAAATAGTTTACAGATATAAGAAGAAAGATGATCCTCTGAAAGAAGTTTACAGACAGTTTGGAAACATAATCCTCTGAAAGAAGTTCACAAATGTATATGAGGAAAGATGATCATTTGAAATAGTTTACAGATATAAGAAGAAAGATGATCCTCTGAAAGAAGTTTACAGATAGTTTGGAAACATAATCCTCTGAAAGAAGTTCACAAATATATATGAGGATAGATGATCCTTTGAAATAGTTTACAGATATAAGAAGAAAGATGATCCTCTGAAAGAAGTTTACAGATAGTTTGGAAACATAATCCTCTGAAAGAAGTTCACAAATGTATATATATATGAAAGATGATCCTTTGAAATAGTTTACAGATATAAGAAGAAAGATGATCCTCTGAAAGTTTAAGAAGTTTACAGATGATCCTCTGAAAGAAGTTTACAGATAGTTTGGAAAACATAATCCTCTGAAAGAAGTTCACAAATATATATGAGGAGGAGATGATCCTTTGAAATAGTTTACAGATATAAGAAGAAAGACGATCCTCTGAAAGAAGTTTACAGATAGTTTGGAAACATAATCCTCTGAAAGAAGTTCACAAATATATATGAGGAAAGATGATCATTTGAAATAGTTTACAGATATAAGAAGAAAGATGATCCTCTGAAAGAAGTTTACAGATAGTTTGGAAACATAATCCTCTGAAAGAAGTTCACAAATATATATGAGGAAAGATGATCCTTTGAAATAGTGTACAGATATATGAAGAAAGACGATCCTCTGAAAGAAGTTTACAGATAGTTTGGAAACATAATCCTCTGAAAGAAGTTCACAAATGTATATGAGGAAAGATGATCCTTTGAAATAGTTTACAGATATAAGAAGAAAGATGATCCTCTGAAAGAAGTTTACAGATAGTTTGGAAACATAATCCTCTGAAAGAAGTTCACAAATATATATGAGGAAAGATGATCCTTTGAAATAGTTTACAGATATAAGGAGAAAGATGATCCTCTGAAAGAAGTTTACAGATAGTTTGGAAACATAATCCACTGAAAGAAGTTCACAAATATATATGAGGAAAGATGATCCTCTGAAAGAAGTTGAAATAGTTTACAGATATAAGAAGAAAGATGATCCTCTGAAAGAAGTTTACAGATAGTTTGGAAACATAATCCTCTGAAAGAAGTTCACAAATATATATGAGGAAAGATGATCCTTTGAAATAGTTTACAGATATAAGAAGAAAGATGATCCTCTGAAAGAAGTTTACAGATAGTTTGGAAACATAATCCTCTGAAAAGAAGTTCACAAATATATATATGAGGAAAGATGATCATTTGAAATAGTTTACAGATATAAGAAGAAAGATGATCCTCTGAAAGAAGTTTACAGATAGTTTGGAAACATAATCCTCTGAAAGAAGTTCACAAATATATATGAGGAAAGATGATCCTTTGAAATAGTTTACAGATATAAGAAGAAAGATGATCCTCTGAAAGAAGTTTACAGACAGTTTGGAAACATAATCCTCTGAAAGAAGTTCACAAATGTATATGAGGAAAGATGATCATTTGAAATAGTTTACAGATATAAGAAGAAAGATGATCCTCTGAAAGAAGTTTATAGATAGATAGTTTGGAAACATAATCCTCTGAAAGAAAAGAAGTTTATAGTTCACAAATATATATGAGGAAAGATGATCCTTTGAAACAGTTTACAGATATAAGAAAGATAGTTTGGAAAATAATCCTATGAAAGAAGAAAGATTTGAAATAGTTTACAGATATAAGATCCTCTGAAAGAAGTTTACAGATAGTTTGGAAACATAATCCTCTGAAAGAAGTTCACAAATGTATATGAGGAAAGATGATCATTTGAAATAGTTTACAGATATAAAAATGAAAGATGATCCTCTGAAAGAAGTTTACAGATAGTTTGGAAACATAATCCACTGAAAGAAGTTCACAAATATATATGAGGATAGATGATCCTTTGAAATAGTTTACAGATATAAGAAGAAAGATGATCCTCTGAAAGAAGTTTACAGATAGTTTGGAAACATAATCCTCTGAAAGAAGTTCACAAATATATATGAGGAAAGGATGATCATTTGAAATAGTTTACAGATATAAGAAGAAAGATGATCCTCTGAAAGAAGTTTACAGATAGTTTGGAAACATAATCCTCTGAAAGAAGTTCACAAATATATATGAGGAAAGATGATCCTTTGAAATAGTTTACAGATATAAGAAGAAAGATGATCCTCTGAAAGAAGTTTACAGACAGTTTGGAAACATAATCCTCTGAAAGAAGTTCACAAATGTATATGAGTAAAGATGATCATTTGAAATAGTTTATATAAGAAGATATAAAGAAGAAAGATGATCCTCTGAAATGAAGATTTAAAGAAGTTTATAGATGAGTTTGATAGTTTGGAAACATAATCCTCTGAAAGAAGTTCACAAATATATATGAGGATAGATGATCCTTTGAAATAGTTTACAGATATAAGAAGAAAGATGATCCTCTGAAAGAAGTTTAGAAAGATAGTTTGGAAACATAATCCTCTGAAAGAAGTTCACAAATATATATGAGGATAGATGATCCTTTGAAATAGTTTACAGATATAAGAAGAAAGATGATCCTCTGAAAGAAGTTTACAGATAGTTTGGAAACATAATCCTCTGAAAGAAGTTCACAAATATATATGAGGATAGATGATCATTTGAAATAGTTTACAGATATAAGAAGAAAGATGATCCTCTGAAAGAAGTTTACATAGATAGTTTGGAAACATAATCCTCTGAAAGAAGTTCACAAATATATATGAGGATAGATGATCCTTTGAAATAGTTTACAGATATAAGAAGAAAGATGATCCTCTGAAAGAAGTTTACAGATAGTTTGGAAACATAATCCTCTGAAAGAAGTTCACAAATATATATGAGGATAGATGATCCTTTAAGAAATAGTTTACAGATATAAGAAGAAAGATGATCCTCTGAAAGAAGTTTACAGATAGTTTGGAAACATAATCCTCTGAAAAAAGAAGTTCACAAATATATATGAGGAAAGATGATCCTTTTACAGAAAAACATAATCCTTACAGATATAAGAAGAAAGATGATATCCTCTGAAAGAAGTTTACAGATAGTTTGGAAACATAATCCTCTGAAAGAAGTTCACAAATATATATGAGGAAATGATGATCCTTTGAAATAGTTTACAGATATAAGAAGAAAGATGATCCTCTGAAAGAAGTTTACAGATAGTTTGAAAACATAATCCTCTGAAAGAAGTTCAAACAAATATATAATGAGGATAGATGATCCTTTGAAATAGTTTACAGATATAAGAAGAAAGATGATCCTCTGAAAGAATAAAAAGAAAGATTTACAGATAGTTTGGAAACATAATCCTCTGAAAGAAGTGATCCACAAATATATATGAGGATAGATGATCCTTTATGAAATAGTTTACAGATATAAGAAGAAAGATGATCCTCTGAAAGAAGTTTACAGATAGTTTGGAAACATAATCCTCTGAAAGAAGTTCACAAATATATATGAGGATAGATGATCCTTTGAAATAGTTTACAGATATAAGAAGAAAGATGATCCTCTGAAAGAAGTTTACAGATAGTTTGGAAACATAATCCTCTGAAAGAAGTTCACAAATATATATGAGGATAGATGATCCTTTGAAATAGTTTACAGATATAAGAAGAAAGATGATCCTCTGAAAGAAGTTTACAGATAGTTTGGAAACATAATCCTCTGAAAGAAGTTCACAAATATATATGAGGATAGATGATCCTTTGAAATAGTTTACAGATATAAGAAGAAAGATGATCCTCTGAAAGAAGTTTAAGATAGTTTGGAAACATTTAAAGAAGTTCACAAATGATAGTTTGGAAACATAATCCTGATCTGAAAAGAAGTTCATAACTCAAAATATATATGAGGATAGATGATCATTTGAAATAGTTTACAGATATAAGAAGAAAGATGATCCTCTGAAAGAAGTTTACAGATAGTTTGGAAACATAATCCTCTGAAAGAAGTTCACAAATATATATGAGGATAGATGATCATTTGAAATAGTTTACAGATATAAGAAGAAAGATGATCCTCTGAAAGAAGTTTACAGATAGTTTGGAAACATAATCCTCTGAAAGAAGTTCAAAGAAGTTTACAAATATATAAAGAGGATAGATGATCATTTGAAATAGTTTACAGATATAAGAAGAAAGATGATCCTCTGAAAAAGAAGTTTACAGATAGTTTGGAAACATAATCCTCTGAAATATGAGAAGATGATCACAAATATATATGAGAAAGATGAAAAGAAGTTTACAGAGGATAGATGATCCTTTGAAAGAAGTTTACAAATATATATATATGAGGAAAGAAGATGATCAATAGTTTAAACAGATATAAGAAGAAAGATGACTATTATGAGGAATAAATAGTTTACTGAAAGAAGTTTACAGATAGTTTGGAAACATAATCCTCTGAAAGAAGTTTATACAAATATATATAAGAAGAGGAAAGATGATCCTTTATGAAATAGTTTACAGATATAAGAAGAAAGATGATCCTCTGAAAGAAGTTTACAGATAGTTTGGAAACATAATCCTCTGAAAGAAGTTTACAAATATATATTTGAAACATAATCCTCTGAAAAGGGAAAGATGATCCTTTGAAATAGTTTACAGATATAAGAAGAAAAGATGATGATCCTCTGAAAGAAGTTTACAGATAGTTTGGAAACATAATCCTCTGAAAGAAGTTCACAAATATATATATGAGGATAGATGATCCTTTGAAATAGTTTACAGATATAAGAAGAAAGATGATCCTCTGAAAGAAGTTTATAGATAGTTTGGAAACATAATCCTCTGAAAGAAGTCCACAAATATATATAAAGATTTGAAAAAACATGAGGATAGATGATCCTTTGAAATAGTTTTTGGAAACACAGATATAAGAAGAAAAATAGATGATCCTCTGAAAGAAGTTTACAGATAGTTTGGAAACATAATCCTCTGAAAGAAGTTCACAAATATATATGAGGATAGATGATCCTTTGAAATAGTTTACAGATATAAGAAGAAAGATGATCCTCTGAAAGAAGTTTACAGATAGTTTGGAAACATAATCCTCTGAAAGAAGTCCACAAATATATATGAGGATAGATGATCCTTTGAAATAGTTTAAATAGTTTAGATATAAGAAGAAAGATGATCCTCTGAAAGAAGTTTACAGATAGTTTGGAAACATAATCCTCTGAAAGAAGTCCACAAATATATATGAGGATAGATGATCCTTTGAAATAGTTTACAGATATAAGAAGAAAGATGATCCTCTGAAAGAAGTTTACAGATAGTTTGGAAACATAATCCTCTGAAAGAAGTTCACAAATATATATGAGGATAGATGATCCTTTGAAATAGTTTACAGATATAAGAAGAAAGATGATCCTCTGAAAGAAGTTTACAGATAGTTTGGAAACATAATCCTCTGAAAGAAGTTCACAAATATATATGAGGATAGATGATCCTTTTTACAGAAATAGTTTAAAGATATAAGAAGAAATAATCCTGATCCTCTGAAAGATGATCATTTGAAATTTTACAGATAGTTTGAAAACATAAAACCTCTGAAAGAAGTTCACAAATATATATGAGGATAGATGATCCTTTGAAATAGTTTACAGATATAAGAAGAAAGATGATCCTCTGAAAGAAGTTTACAGATAGTTTGGAAACATAATCCTCTGAAAGAAGTTCACAAATATATATGAGGATAGATGATCCTTTGAAATAGTTTACAGATATAAGAAGAAAGATGATCCTCTGAAAGAAGTTTATAGATAGTTTGGAAACATAATCCTCTGAAAGAAGTTCACAAATATATATATATGAGGATAGATGATCATTTGAAATAGTTTACAGATATAAGAAGAAAGATGATCCTCTGAAAGAAGTTTACAGATAGTTTGGAAACATAATCCTCTGAAAGAAGTTCACAAATATATATGAGGATAGATGATCCTTTGAAATAGTTTACAGATATAAGAAGAAAGATGATCCTCTGAAAGAAGTTTACAGATAGTTTGGAAACATAATCCTCTGAAAGAAGTTCACAAATATATACGAGGAAAGATGATCCTTTGAAATAGTTTACAGTTATAAGAAGAAAGATGATCCTCTGAAAGATGTTTACAGATAGTTTGGAAACATAATCCTCTGAATGAAGTTCACAAATATATATGAGGATAGATGATCATTTGAAATAGTTTACAGATATAAGAAAGAAAAAGAAGTTTATGATCCTCTGAAAGAAGTTTACAGATAGTTTGGAAACATAATCCTCTGAAAGAAAAGATTCAAAGAAGTTTACAGATAGTTTGAAAAACAAAAATATATATGAGGATAGATGATCATTTGAAATAGTTTACAGATATAAGAAGAAAGATGATCCTCTGAAAGAAAATAGTTTACAGATAGTAGTTTGGAAACATAATCCTCTGAAAAGTAGTTCACAAATATATATGAGGAAAGATGATCCTTTGAAATAGTTTACAGATATAAGAAGAAAGATGATCCTCTGAAAGAAGTTTACAGATAGTTTGGAAACATAATCCTCTGAAAGAAGTTCACAAATATATATGTGGATAGATGATCCTTTGAAATAGTTTACAGATATAAGAAGAAAGATGATCCTCTGAAAGAAGTTTACAGATAGTTTGGAAACATAATCCTCTGAAAGAAGTTCACAAATATATATGAGAATAGATGATCCTTTGAAATAGTTTACAGATTTATGAGGAAAGATGGTTCTATGACAGAAGTTTACAGACATGTTAGGAAAGATGGTCCTTCGAAATAAGTTTACATATAGTTTGGAAATACGATCTTCTGAAAGTGGTTTACAGATATGTTAGAAAAGATTATCGCCTGAAAGAAGTGTAGACTCATGTTAAGAAAGATGATTCTCTGAAAATGTTTACAGACATGTTACGAAAGATGTTCATCTGAAAGAAGTCTACGGACATGTTAGAAAAGATGATTATCTGAAAGAATTTTGCAGACATATCAGGAAAGATGACACTCTGAAAAAAGTTTACAGACATGTTAGGAAAGATGATCCTCTGAAAGAAGTTTACAGACATGTTAAGAATGATGATTCTTTAAAAAACTTTACAGACACGTTAGGAAAACTGATTCTCTGACAGAAGTATATATGGGGAAAGACGATCCTTTGAAATAAGATTACAAATATATGAGGAAAGATGGTTCTCTGACAGAAGTTTACAGACATGTCAGGAAAGATGGTCATTCGAAATAAGTTTATATATAGTTTGGAAATATGATCCTCTGAAAGAGGTTTACAGATATGTTAGAAAAGATTATCACCTGAAAGAAGTCTATATCCATGTTAAGAAAGATGATCTCTGAAAATGTTTACAGACATGTTACAAAAGATGATCCTCTGAAAGAATTTACAGGCTTGTTAGGAAAGATGATCCTCTAAAAGTAGTTTACAGACATGTTAGGAAAGATGATCTCCTGAGAGAAGTTAGCAGACATGTTAGAAAAAATGATTCTCTGAAAGATGTTTACAGACATTTTAGGGAAGATGATCTGAAAAATTTTACAGACGTATTAGGAAAACTGATTCTCTGACAGAAGTTTACAACTATATATGGGAAAAGATGATCCTTTGAAATAAGTTTCCAGATAGTTTGGAAAGATGATCAGCTGAAAGAAATTTACAGATATGTTAAGAAAAATCATCCTCTGAATAAAGTGATATTAGATAAAAACATTAAAGTTTGACATTTTTAGCTAATTTTGGAAAATGGCCAAACAAATGAAGGAGAACAAGGAAAGAAAAATGAAACCATTCAACCGTGTAGCCATTAAAACAAACGCCCAATACTTTGACTGATCTTTGTAGATATTAAGATTAGCTTTAATTTCATTTTGCTTGGATAATTTACCACATCTTTTGAAATTGAATTTGCTAAATTAAGACAACCTTCCAGCGGTGCACAGTATATAATCATACATAATGTTGTTAAGAAATTTCGAATTGAAAAATAAATTTCTTTAATTGAAATTTGATGTTAAATAGTATATCTCTTATCCGAGACGTAATCGCTAAAAATGTGGATATATATTGGATGAAGTGTCATGGCAAACATTTATTCAATTACCAATCTTAGAAACTATTATTCCCAAAGATATTACAATATCACTTATTTTTATGTAGCAAGCTATATTACATGAAAAAAATTATCAGAGAAAATATGAAATATTTAATAATACAGCTTTTTATTTTCAGGATTTGGGAGAATTTTTTTTTAAAGGAATTGATTCTGGCAATTTGACGTTGCACTTGATACCAAACTTCAGTGATTGTTATTCTGCTTGATGCTATTTAATGCTGTTAAATTAAAGATTTACAGAAGTCCTTAACAAATGGCGTTATGTTAGTTTCCAACAGTTTGGATGTGCAGAAGGCGTAATGTTTATCGGGGAATCGGCGAGCCGAGTTCGAATTACTGTCACGTTCATTACATTCACTTTCGCGCAAATACTCTAGGGAAATGTATGAATCCAACTTTTCTCCACCCGAGCTATGGGTTAAATATTGGAGAGACCGGGATTTCAGTTTTTAGTTTTCAACCAGAAGAATTACAATTCTGAATTCAAAATTCGTTCGATATGGAGCAAGTCTCTTTATATTGTAAAATCCATTTGCTACGGAATCTACAGCAGTAACGCTTAGTGCGTTGAGAGCTTTGGTTCCATACTCCTCAAGTGAGTCTATGGAACTTCAGAGCTGTGGATTTATACTCCTCAATGGAGTCTATGTGATCTGTGAATTAATGCTTCATACTCTTCTTGTGAGCAGTAGTACAATGCTCTTCAATGGAGTCTATGGGACTTGACAGCTGTGGCTCCATACTCCTCAGTGGAAACCACGGGACATGAGAGCTGTGGTCCAATATTCCTGAACTGAGTCTGAGAGACTTGAGAGCTATGACACCATACTCCTCAATAGAGATTAGGAGACTTGAGAGCTGCGGTATAATTATCCTCAATGGAGTCTATGAGACTTGAGAGCTGAGGTTCCATACTATTTAGTCTATGGGACCTGAGAGCAGTGACTTCATACTATTCAATGGAGTCCACGGGAGAATGAGATCTGC